GAAATGCGTTAATCGCCGATATCATGACTTGTAACCCATTCAGTGAGTTAATGAATGTAGTTATTACTTACAATTTACAAACTTGGTCCTCAAAAAAGCAAAAATTGTTTTTGAATCTGCAAAAAAAAAAAATTCCTTAGTTTTCTCTTGTAATTTTTTGGTAAGCTAGTTTCTCTTGTTCTTATTCTCAACAAATTGTCATTACCATTGACTCACAAACGCACTTTTTGGGAAATTATTTCCTTGGTCACTCTCTCTCCCCCCCTCTTCCCCTCTCTCTCTCCTCTTTCCTCTCTCCTCTCTCCTCCCCTCTCTCTCTCACAAAGGGTGCATTGAGCCGGGACCTCTACATGTTTGCTCCACTTTTTGATTCGTTTGATTCCTTCTCGGAGGATTTACCTCGTCCAGACCTTTGTGCGGCCAACTTTCTAGGAAGATTTCATCATCATTGGGGAAGCAGAACCTAGCATTTGTGGACTTGTCTCCAAACAAGGTCAAGGGTGATGCATCAATGCTATTTGTGTCCAAGAAAAGAAAATTCTTTTCAGGAACTTACTAGCTTTTGAAACGAGAAAAGTATAAGGCTTTGTTTTGGAAGTTGGTTTTAGGAGGGGAATGAAAGGAAAATGAGAGTTTTAGTAAGTCTTTCTCTTGTTCGTGAGTTTAAAAAAATGAAGGGAAGAGTTTGAGGATTTTTACTAAACCCTCAAAAACCCTCCTTCTCAAAAGAATTTTGACGGAAAAAATATTCTGTCAAAATTCTTTACATAATCTAAATTTCGTCGAAAGTTTCGAATCAAATATTTCTTTCAAAATTTCTAACAAAACAATTTATGTCGAAATTTTCGTCAGAACACGTTTCCATTGAAATTTTGAATGGAAAACGTTCCGTCAAAATTTTTGACAGAATTCTTTTTCGTTTAAAACATTTGACGGAAACTAAATTTCGTCGAAAATTTCGATAGAAAATTTATTTTTGTAAAAATTTTCATCGGTTGAAAAATTCCGTCGCTTTTTGACGAAAAGTATTTCGACGAAAAAATATTTTTTTTGAAGAAATTTTCATCGTTTACAGCGTAAAAATTTCATCGAAAATATGATCTTTTTTGGTGTTGTGAAAAGTACATACATAATTTTGTTAGAAATTTTAAATTTAATTTAATTTGTAAAATATAATAATTATATTAATTTTAAATAAAGGTTAAAATGGTAAAACTATCTCATTAATCCTCAATTTTCCTCCTTTACTATTTTTTTAACTCCCAAATAAGGGAAGAGAATACCCTTCAATTTCCTTCCCCTCCCTCCCCCTGATCCCATTTCTTCCTCTCCCCTCCAAACTCCCGAACAAAGCCTAAAGAGTATAATGAATTCCATGAGGAATTAGTTGGTGCGAAGAAGTGTAAAAAATGAAGATGTGCGATCATCAAAGAAGGTTCATAGCACAAGATTAAAGCAGAAGTCAATAGACCTTAGAACCATTAAGTGATTTGATTAGTTTGTCTCAGGGTCTTAAATATCTGTCAAGTATCAAACTTTTTAATTCAAAAGATCCAAGTCTTTGCGCGTGATTTTTCAATTGCAAGGACGGTCTAAATTCCTGGTAATTAAATTGAAGCGAACCATTTACAAAAAAAATAAAAAATTGAAGCGAACTATATGACTTAAAGATAGAAAAAAAAAAAGTTTTAAAACGGTTTTAAACCCTACTCATTCCTTAAAATTCTCTTTTGAGGTAAATTCATTGTTCAAAAGTTTGACAAATTTATATTTTGCATAAATTTATTTAAGTGCATTTTGGAGCTTTGAGTATAGACTTGGGAATTTTATCTAACTTCCTCACTTCACATTACTAGTTTATTCTTAAACAATCTTAAAAAATTTCCAGAAAAAAGTCACAAGGAGTTAACTAGTATCATTATCACATTGCATAATATTATATGTTGAAACTTGACACGAGCTGTCAAATTCGGACAAATTAATTAAATAAGATTTATTAAAATTTTGTAGTAAAGTGTCAACCTGAGTGGTCTTTCAAGGAGTTTGCAAAGAACCTAATCGCTCAGTTATAAAAATAAAAATAAAAATAAAATGAAAACGAAATGAAACTGAAAACTAAATAAAAACAAGAATAAAATAAAAATGAAAATCAAATAAAAACGAGAACTAAATAAAAAGAGAAACTAAGGAGAAACATAAACTAAAGAAAAATGGAAACTATAATGGGGTTTTTAATATGATTATAAATTTAAACGAAAATAAAATTTAAATAAAACGAGAATAATCAAATTAAAAGCAACAAACTAAAGAATTATAATCTGAAGGACATCCATCGTTAGTCAAATAATTACCAAATCATGGTTGACCCTAAAATTGAAGGTAAGAAAAGGAAGGGGATTCAAGGGGAAGGGAGGGGAAAGAAGGGAAGGAAATTGAAGGTTATTCTCTTCCCTTATTTGGGAGTTAAAAAAATGGTAAGAAAGAAATTGGAGGGTTAATGAAATATTTTTACAATTTTACCCTTTTTTTAAAAATTAATATAATTATTATATTTTACCAATAAAATTAAATTTAAAATTTTAAACAAAATTATTTATGTATTTTTCATACTACTAAAAAAGATCATATTTTCAACAAAATTTCTACGTTGCAAACAACGAAAATTCTGCCAAAAAAATATTTTTCCGTCTGAATACTTTTTGTCGAAAGGTGACGAAATTTTTATAAGATGAAATTTTGTACAAAAATAAATTTTCTGATGAAATTTTTGGCGAAATCTGTGCCGATGGAAATTTTTTTGTAAAATTTTTTTAGGAAAATGTTTCTGTTGAAACTATCGACAGAATTTAGATTCCATAAAGAATTTTGACGAAATATTTTTTCCGTCAAAATTTTTTACAGAAATGTTTTTCTTCAAAAAATGTTACGAAAATATTTATCGTCAAAAAATTTTGACATAAATATTTTTCGTCAAAAATTTTCAATGAAAATGTATTTCGTTTAAAATTTCGACAGAAATTTTTTTCGTTAAAAAGTGTAACGAAATATTTTTGTCGAAAACTTTTTGCAGAATTTAGATTCTATAAAGAATTTTGACAATTTTTTTCTGTCAAAATTTTTCTCAATGAAAATGTGTTCCGTTGAAAATTTTGAGGGAAATATTCCTCGTCGAAAATTTTGACAAACATGTTTTTTTGTCAAATATTTTGAAGAAATTTAGATTGTATAAATAATTTTGGCAAAAAAAAAATTCGTCAGAATTTTTTACAAAAATATTTTTTTTCACCAATTTTTACGGAAATATTTTTCGTTGAGAATTATCGCTGTAAATGTGTTTCGTTGAAAATTTTGATGGAAATATTTTTCGTAAAAAAATTTGATCGAAATGTTTGTCGACAAAAACATTTTGAAGTAAGTGTTTTCCTTTGAAAATTTTCGATGAAAATATGTTTTGTTAAAATTTTAGTTGAAAATATTTTTCCTTGAAAAGTTTGACGGAAACATTTTCGTTGAAAGTTTCGACGAAATTTAGATTCTATCAAAAATTTTGGTTAAATTTTTTCCCAAAAGAAATTTTTGTCAATGATTATGACCAAATCTTGTTCGGTCTCTAATTTCGTCTTTAGTTTCGACCAAAATGCTTTTTTGTCTCTATTTTTGACGTAATATAATTTTCGTCAAAAATTTCGTCATCATTTTTGATGAAATATTTTTCATTGATAAATTATGTCGATATTTGAGTCTTTTGTAATAGGGTTTAATAAGAGTTATGTTGTAGGAAAAGTGATTGTGTTATGTTATAGAGATTCGTTTTGCGTGCCAGAGTTTTTTTTTTTTTTTTGGTTTCAAAAATTGTGGGTCCCACAAAATATTGTGTGTGTAGGAAAGTTGTTGTGGTCATGTTAAATTATAGATACAAAACCCTTTGTAATAATGTCACATTTAAAAATGATTCATATTTATGTAATTTTCACATTTTAATGTTAAGGGTATAAAAGTAATTTTTAATATTTCCCCCCTTAAATCCTCTAAATTAGGAGAACTTTAATTTTAAGGGTGAGAAGGGTTTTGGAGGATTTTGCAAAAAACCCCCAATTTCCTTCCTTTATTTTTTTAAACTCACAAACAAGGGAAGTAATTAATAAAATCCTCTCCTCCCTTTCTTTTTTCTCCTAAAACTAACTCCCAAACAAAGCCTAAGCAAATCGGAATCCTTGCATTCGCTTAGGAACCCCTCTCAAGAGGATCATCTAGTGTTTGGTTAAATACGACGCATCTACTCCCGGAATCGCAGAATATTAACTCGTTCGACTTGAGTTCATTAGGTTAATTAATCTAACCATTAAATCTAATGATTAATCTCTTTCCCAAGAACGCAATCGCGTATCTGAGATTAAACACTCACAATCGCGCGATGTCAAATCGAGTTGGAAAGAAAAATGAATTGGATTCAAAATGATATGCAGGTCCTTAGGATTCAACCAATGAATCCTCAACCCTTGGGTTGATTAAAGAAAAAAAGAAAGAGAAAAAGGACAAAAATTATATTAATTTCAAAACTATAAAATGCAAATTCAAACGAAAGATAATTCACAAGGTCCCTACACTCACATTTTTAACCCCTAATCAAGCTGGTTTCAGACTCTACAAATCCAACTCAAAATAAAAGAAAACAAAACAGAAATAATAGCTCTAGGCCTCATGTACATTGAGTTCAAAATTATAACTTAAGACCACTTAATTAACTTAAATTCCAAAATCACGTTTCTAACTTGGACTCCAACTTCTACCATCTTCTTGTCAGAATTGGGCTTCCATGTCTTCATAACATTTGTAGCCCTCTGAATTATCTACAAAACAAGACAAGAATGAGATTAATCTGACACTTATAGCAAGAGTTATAATCAAAATACTGCAATAACGTAAATCTAAAAATTTATGATAAAAATGAATTAAATTAAATTAAGAGCCCAACTAATTAATTTAGTCAAAAAGTCCTTTATTCTCACAATAAACAAACCTAAAACTATTAATTAAGAGCACAAATAAGTGTAATAAATATTTATTATTAAAACCTCAGTTAGTGTATTGAAAAAAAAAAAAATTGCCAAAGTATTCGGTGTTTAGATTTGCTGGATAGTACCTCGTTTGGGAATTGTTCAATGTGATTTAGTTTACTCTATATGAGTGTGCGTGGAAAGCTATAGTGATGAAATATTTTATTATTTTTGTATATATAATTTTATCGTAACATTATTATTTAACAGCTTAAATATCATAGGAACAAGGCTTGTATAGAGCATTGTGGAAGGCTCCATGCAACAGGTATTATGGAATAACACTACATCCCGAAACCAATAAAACCAACGCAGCAAAACCAATCAAGCGGCACCACACTAGAACCGCAGTTCAGGAAAAAGTTTCCCTGCACAAATCTGTTTTACAAGATATCTTTTTAGTGATAAAAACTATGAATTTTTATAATAATTTTTCATAAACGCTCATATGATCATACGTTGCTAACTCCATTATACGGATCCTATCGGCTATCATCAACAGAACAAGTTAAAGCACAGCGGAAGTTTTCTTTACTCTTCTGCAGCACTAGCAGCACTTAGATCCACGCTGAGGTCAAGAACCTGATCAAAATCACACCGTTAAGAATATATTAGAATAAGAGATTTGTCCAATTACCCTAAAAGCTATCAAGAGAAACATGACAATCATTTTTCGAGCTTATCTCCGCATGCAGCCATGCCCGTGAGCAGGGATTAAAAAATAGGTTACGAGGAATCTGGATCCTCTCTCTCACGTGAAAATTCACATGACCATGTGAGAAATCATAACCATACAAAGATGGATCAAAGGTAATAAAAGAGGAGAGAGAAAAAATGTTAAAATAAATAATTATGAAATCATAATCGTTGATTTACTTTTGTATGGTTGTTGTAATCTTCCCACATGATCATATCATGTTTTTTTTTTTCACATGAGAAGACTCATTTCCAGTTACCAGTCCCTCTAAACAATAAAAATATTTTCATATTGACAAATCAGAGCGCAAATGCTATTGCAACAATAAAAATCAACTAGAATCTTCAAATATATATAAAAAAATCCGCTAACATTCTCGAGCAAATTATTCATTTATGCATAAGTCAATAATTTAATAAATCATTTAAAATTTACAATAAAAGATAGACAAGAATGACCGTAAAAGATATACATGATTTGGAAAGACAAATTCTATACATAAAGAAAAAGATTGAACAAAAAGCAACAAAGATTTTACAAATAAAACACAAAATAAGTGAAACTGAAAACCATCAAATTTCCCGCCGGATGGCCAGGGTATGAGAAATAAAGAGGATGGAATTTAAAAAACAAATGCAAATGTGGGACTTCCGCTAGATAGGGCTCATGAGGAGTTTCAGTTGGATTTTGCCATGGGGTCGTCTCATCCATGGGAGAGGCACCAGGAAGATTCCGGGAGTTATATGACGGGGTCCTTGAACGGAATCCTGATGTGGATGTTCTTGGATTTGTGCCTAGTTGTTGTGATTTTGTATGTTATGCATTTTACATGATGTTATTGTTGCACATTGAGTGAGCCATGGGGTGGATGATCCTCTAGTACCTTGGTTTACTGAGATATATTTGTATATCTCACCCCGCGTTTGGGGACATCATTTCAGGTGAGGTTGAGCATGGAGGAGTTGAGCACAAGGTGCATTTGGAGGGCATGACATATTGAAGAATTCCATTTGATGCACATAACATAGTGTTTAGTATTTGGACTTAGGTTTTGACATATTACCATGCTTTGTATGTCATGACCATATTTAAGTCTTGAAATTGACGTATATATATTTATATATATATATATATGCCTCTTGTTTATTGTGTATTTTAGTGAGCATGAGACTTGTCCAAGGCCACGTATATGTGTTTGAGGCATTTTGGAGTCTTGTAATGTAAATTGAGCAAATGGTGGATTAGTACATTTGAACCTTGTATAATATTAATGCATGGATATGATGAAAGGGCATTACGCCTATATTAGGATTATGATTATATGTATGTTGAAAATTGCATGCATATGGACCTTGATGATTGAAATGTGTCAAGTATTAATTAAGGAAGCAATATGATGCAAATGGTGTAATTACTATAAACTGAGATGGGTTGTAAGAGCCCCAAGGCACTATTGGACCTTGTGTGTGCCACCCATTGATTATTAGGTACATTTTGAGGTCATAGAACATAAAGCAACTTGGGATTTATTGGAAAAACAAAGGAGGTTCTGCCGAAATTTCTCAAATGTACCTAGGTTGTTGCTAAAATTTCACTCCCTAAATAATAAAATTGGACCCCTTGACCTTCATGGAAGTTGTAGGCCTTCCTATTATCTTTCCAACAAGACCAAGATTGTGTAAATTGAATTAGTATAACTCAAGTTATGGACAAAATACAAAAGTAGGTCAGATTGTCCTGTTTTGGTGCTTCCTCCAGAACTGCGGCGCTCTTAGCGTCAAGTTGACGCTATGAGCGCCAACCATCTGGGGGAGGCCGTAGGTTTGACGCTATGGGCGCCAGTCTCACGCTATGGGCGTCAACCTCCCTGTATTCTCACGCTATGAGTGTGGGGTCTTGGGGTTTTTAGCATCCATTTTCTTAAATTTCATAACTTGGGCTACGGTGCTCTGAATTGAGCGCGGTTTGAAACCACGTGAAGCTAAAGAGAAAATCTAGAACATACTAAGAAATGAGAGTCAAAAGATAAGTTTTAAATTGTTGGAGTAAATAAAATGGTTAAGACATTTAGTGTTAAAAATGAATAGAACGCGTCTTAGCTTTGTTGGTTTATGGGAATCACTTAGCAATCTTAAAACGAAAGAATTGTATGGTATTAGGCTTTGGCATTGATAATTCCGCATAAAGTTTTGAGTTATGATTACATTTAATTCAAAAGTACAAACAATATTAAAAAGGAAAAAAGTTTTCCCGTAATTACAAATAAACGCTGTGATTGTAACTGCGCTTAATATCATATTTGATGATAACACACCGGTCCGGTAACAGGGTGTTACATACAGGAGGCTTGTCACTTCCCCTGAATCTCTTCCAAAGCTGAAGGTATATTATTAAGTTTAAATTACAAAGATAGATCTCAATATACACCGGATTAAAGTTAAAAGAAATATACCTGAACAAGATTGAGTGATGTGGATTCTCCTCCGTAATATTCATTCCTGTCCATATGAAGAACCTGAACAAAGACATATTGAATATTATTTCCTAACTGAAATAAGCAATTACGCCAGAACATCTAATTTGCTACCAATTATATAGTATGCAAATGATACTCCAGTTTAGACTATAGATAATTGAAGAAGGAAAGGACAGAGTAGAAAGAAAGACTGATAACAGTTTACACTAGTGAATGCGGGGAATAGCTTGTATCCTGATTTTTGCGTGATAACCACAAACTTAAAGAGCTCAAAACTATGAAGAAATATAAAAACAAAGGAAATCGCATGTGTCAATTTCGGTCTTAAGCAGATTTAAATATATATCAAGGCATCGCACTGATTTAACACAAATCTGTAAAACAAAGCCCAGGCTTCGGTTAGAAGACCTTAAGGTCATCGACGGAGAAAAGACCACTGAGAATACATTCCTTGAGACCCGTGCCCAATACTATAACATCATACTCTTCATCCATCGTTGAATCAGACACGGATTTGAAGTTATGCTCGAAGGCCAACCGAGAGATATAGAAAGCCAGAGGGAAGTTACCGAGAGAAACAATTAGGGTTCCTGACTCTCCAGTTAATGATTAGATTTAGATATATATATTTATATTTGCAGCTGAACACACTTTGTAATTGATTGCTGACGGAAGAAGAAATGGATCTTCAATTAATTAACAAGTAATTAAGAATATCCGGTGTTCAAGCGTTTAAGACACTCCTTCTTCGGCTGCACAATACTTGCGATTTTTCTCAGCAGTTTATTATTAATTAAAAGGAAATAACATGTGTCATTTTAAATGATATAGACTTATATCATTTTATATCCTAACTGATGATTTCTGTCCATCAACGGTTATAATTTATTAAATTAAAATTATTAATTAATTAATAATAAATTTGGCCAACTAAGTTTGACCCAATAAATTATAACCGTTGATGGAACGAAAATCAACGGGTAGGATCTAAAATGATATAAGTTTCTATCCTTTAAAAGGATAGATGTTTTTTCCTAATTAAAATAAGGAAAAGCTTCAAAAATACTTATAAAACTATATGAGAATCACTTATCCCTCTTTCAAAATTTTAAATTATTTATTCTCTAACTTAAAATTTCTCTATCACTTGTCCCTACATGTTAGAAAAACTTTAAGTTAGGAAATATGTGATAAAAAAATTTAAAATTAAGATATAAATGATTCAAAATTTTAAAGATGAATTAAATAATTATAAAAGAAACTTTCTGAACTTTTTTCTTGTTGATAGTAGGGTAAAAATCTGCGTTGTTAGTTATGGTGATATAAGTAAAAACACAAAATTGCAGGCAATCACGGGAAATCAGAGTGCAATATACAAGCATAAAAAATTACATAAAATCAAACCCAAGCTCTATATTGAATATTGTATTCTTAAGATAATTTTGTTCCCTCGACGGTGCTTAACATGGGTGGACAAATTTCTTCCGGGATATAACAAATTATCTTTGTTTCGACGGTGGCATAACCTGAAGAAACAACACTGACAGACACAACAAATATTGATCAATCGTACAAAATGAAAGTAAATGAATGCAAAAGATTTCAAAAATCATTTTGATAGAATTTCGATACAAAAGAGAAATCAGAAAAGTCTCTGAATTTTTTCTAGTTTGCTTTCATATTTATAAATCATGACTGGTCACGATGAATAGTGTCTATTGACGGTAAAAAATCGTGCATATTTGGCAGTAAAAAATCATGTTTATTCACCCATAAAAAGTCATGTTTATTCGACGGTAAAAAAACATATGTCTTCATACCCAACTTTTTATTCATAAAATTTAAATTCTATAAGAATTACAACAATTTTCTCCTAAAATAATGAAAAAAAGCATTAGTGGTTGGGTTCGCTTTTTCTTCAGTTACTGCAGATAAGTTATCTCCAGTAAGCTCAATATGACGTCGTTTTGGGGCGGAAATCATGATATTTTTGTAATTTTAATTTATTTCAGGGTTATAATAATCTTCATATTTATAATTTTTTAAGATTTCTTTATCAAAATAACGTCGTTTTGAAAATAAATGCAGATAATTTATTTGCATTAATTGCAAAAATATTTTTCCCTTATTCATTTTAAAATATAAAACTTTATATTCACCACACACACACGTTTGACGGCTCACACTTCCCGTGGCTCCCTATCAGCCTATATTAGACACAATGCTACACATTGGAAGGTATATTGACCTTTTTTTTTACTCTGTCAAATTGGTCTCAGATACTCTCACTTGTTACTTACTCTATGTAGGTGTTGCGTGTGAATATAATCTATTATTTTTACGCAAGTGCATTGTCAACCAATAATTTAAGATTGTGATTTCATATCTCGTTTTCGCGAATATGATTTATGCAGTGCAAATTCAAATAAAGTAATAAGAACAACAATTATTTTTGTGGTTTATAATGAAAGATAAAAGGCAACTCAACTAAAATGAACTAACTAAACTAATTAAACAGAAAGCTAAACTCTTGAAAGTATGAATGTGAAACATAGGTTATGATTAATTTCTCCTATTCTGCAATGATGTAACAATGTTATTGTAAAGACTTATCAATTTTTAATTGATAACCAAACGCATGATTTTATGTAGGAAATATCGCAAACCTTACATATATAACTCAACACTTAATCACCATATCTCTATACTATAATTAACTATTGAATTCATTGAAAAACAAGTTCAGTCACTATGTGGTATGAATCATAACTTAATTAAGTTATTTAATCTAATTAATCCACATTATTTAACAAGAGTCTTGATTCGAAAACCTCTCAACCTTAGTCTCTTCCATTCAAGTATATCTATTGGTATGCATATAAAAATAAAATTAAACAAATTCATTAAGTAAATAATTAAAAATTAATAAAAATAATATTTAGGCATCCGTAAAAACATTATAATTTCACATTCAGATTTTACCCAATAATCTAGAGATAGTAGAGTGGTTCAAGTATAAGAAAGAGAATTATAGCAAAAGATTCAAGGAAGCTTGAAGACAAAAAACAAAGTAGTGGCATAGAGTGCTGGAGCAAAGCTTGTGCGCAGAGCCTAGACCAGATTATTGATGAAGCATTGTTTTTCTTGTTTTTAATTTTGTTTATATGGATTATTTCTTCCTAATTTTTTATGTAGCCTTATCTCGATACAACCTGTTTTGGCTGCTGATCCATTTGAGATAAGAGTTTATCCTCCTTAAATATGGGCTTGGAAAGCTATTTTATCTTTGTAATACCTTTATATTGTGACTTTTGGGGGGCGTTTGGTAGATGAGGTATTTTTTTTCATCGGGAAAAAAATTTGTTGGGAACATGATAGAAAAAATTTATTGCTGGGTAAGATAAGAAAAAGTGTTTGATATGCCAAAATTTATTGCCAGGTAAAATAAGAAAATGTGTGTTGGCTGTAGGCAAATTTTTTTACCACATTGGATGGTAATATTTTATAATGAGATCATGTGTAAAACATGTTTCTCAGCCAAAAAATTTTGCTACCCATTTTTTTTTTACTCTTACCAAACATGGCTAAACTATTTTTCTCATCCCACTTTTCTGGGCAATTTTTTTTTCCTCCTACCAAACATCCTCTTGGTGTGTTATCCTAGAAGATTTACCTTCACTCTGAATTCAAGTCGTATCCTTATATTCTTCTATTACGCGCTCTCATCGTCCAAAAATTGCATTCTGTTACTGTGATTGCTATAGAACTCGTGTGACATTTTTCACATGTTGAGATCGGTTAAGTGCTATAACTAGGGGTGTAAATGGGTCAGACAGCCTACAGCTCGATCTACATTGAGCCTGGCCTAGCCCGACCTTTCAGAGAAAGTAGAGTAGACTTAGGCTTATAAGAAAGCTTTTTTAACAAATAGGCCATAGGCCAATTTTGTTAAGCTTGGCTTAAAGCCTTGTAGGCTGGCCTATTTAATTTATTAAAATAAAATAAAATAGTAATATTTATTTTATGTGGCAAAGTACCAATATCAACCCTAATTTTTATGTGCATCACCGCTTCTCGGCTTCGTCTTTTCTTTCCCTTGTCTTGATGGTGGTTTAAAGATTTTTAGATGAATGACATTCTCTTGTAGACTTTATTTCAGCACCCAATAATTGTATTTTTCTTATTTTTCCCATTTCTTTGACTCTGTTTCTCTATGATATACATTCTAAAGCTGAGGTATTATGTTGACTCTTTTTTGTTTGTCATTTTTTTCTTATGAGAAGTACTAGTGCATACATTAATAGAACTTTCTTTGCTCTCTACAATTATTTTCTTTGCTTAGTATCTGCAGTGGGAGGCCTACAAGGCCTGTAGGCCATGACAGACTTTCTTATTTTTAAAAATAGGCCGGACTTGGCCTACAAATATAGCCTTTAATAGGCTAGTAGGCCAGATAGGCTGAATTTTTTTACGTAGGCTTGGACCAGGAAGGCCAAAGCCCAGCTCATTTACATTCTTAACTATAACACTCGTATATTATCTTAGAAATAAACACTCAACCAATTATCTGCTCTAGCTTCAAAATAAAAGATATTTTCTATGTTTTCCATATTTTATTTTTTCATGCATATGAGATGGAGTTTATGCAAATAATTCATCATTATATACCCTAAATTAACTCTCTTTTAGAGAGTTAACAACGCATCACACACCATCCAATTTTTTCCTCCTTCACACCACATATATCATCACATAACACCCACTCCCGACACATATAGAAAAGGGATCCCACGTATATCAACTCCTCTAATTCGCGTAGACATCAGCAGCCTATCCTCTTACTAAGAGCCTTCAAATTTAGTAGATATTAAAAATGATGATCCTTCGTCTTTAAATAATCAGATAATAATGGAACATGTGTTCCTATCCAATTTCATTTAATTATAAATTGTTCCGTTTCATTTTAACACTCGGAAACATACACCTTAGGCTCAGGCGGCCAGTATGATGGGCCGGTGTGTTTTGGGGCCCGCGTCCATGTTCGTCAATCAAAAGTCATCAATCCATCTATGAGACTATAAATAATCCACTGTGGCACCCCGTGAAAAATTGAGAGTTGTTCTCCGCTCGACACCGATTTTAGGGGTGAATATCAATTAACGAATTCCCCTCCTCACTGATAGAAGTTTCTAAACTCGCTACTTCCCAAGTGATCTAAATAGCAGCGGCAGCTGGATCGTCGAACAAGAAACCAGAACGAAAAAACTAAAAGAAAAAAAAACCCCTTCATATCCCGTTGAAAATGGCTCAAGAGTCACTCTCAGAAACCCCAGATGTCTCGCCGTCTTCGTCTACTGCTCAATCGCAGCCAGATCCATCTCTTTCAAGGAACGGTTCTTTTAGCCGGCTCAACGCTCAGGCACCAGAATTTGTACCCACTCGAGCCACCCCGCGGACCGATTTGCAACAACCTAGGCTCGTAGTACCTCCTCCTCCTCCTCCTCCTCCTCCGGCTTCAGGTACGGTGCATGTTTACTCACCGCCCCCAACTTCGCCGTTCCATATACCGATTCAAGGTCATGTCCCGGTCGCTAGTCAAGTCGTCCCGGTCCAGAATCACCATCATCATCTTGCCCACAGGCATCACGTTCCAGTTCACTACCGGTCTCATCATCTCCCGCATCAGTATTATGTTAGCTCTGATTCCGGTGTGCAGCAAGTTCAGCAGTCTCAAGTTGAGCCAGATCATTCTCCTTCTTCTAAAAGCAAGCTGTCCGATGAAGCTAGTCAGAAAATTTTGAATCAGGTGATCCTCACTTCCAAATGAATATGCCAATTTCAGTGCTTATCTTGTGATTCATGTTTCACAGACAGAATGGATGGTTCATAGTTTCAGTTGCTTTTTTCTAAAGTTCTATGGATGAATTATCTAGGTCGACGGAAGTATTCCTTGCTTCCGATTGCCCATCCATAATTTTTCTTAAACCTCAGATGTATCCCCACTCAACCACCTCCGGCCTCTTTGCGCTCATAGTAGGGACCTGGAGCTAACTCCTCATTGGAACAGATGCTGTATTAAACTGCAGGTAGGATGAGACTAACCCCATCGAGACTTCGAACGTGAAGGTTTTGCCATTAGCCCCAAAGAATCTTTCCATGTATTGAACGTGCAACCCTTGAGCCACACTCTGCTAGTGTGCCACTCCCTTGGGTTACCCATCGACAATTTTTAACCAACTTAAATATCAATATCAATCAAATATTTTGGTTAGCCTTGCCATATATACATTTGAGTCTCAGATTTTAGCTTTGTTCCATTCCTATTTCGATGTGGATCACCCAGGATTATGCACTGGCTAAGCCAGGCTTTCTTGCAGAATTGACTCCGTTGATCTAGTTAGGTAATGTTTGGATGGAGGAGTTTGGTGGGGGAGGGGAGGGGTAATTTTTTACTCCTAAATTGAGAGATTTATATCATATATATAAATATGAATAATGGATGATTGGAAGGTTACTTGATAATCTCTCATTTTAAAAAATTCTCAAGTAAGGATTATGGTCAATTATTTATTTAAAATGGAAAGTTATCTCTCCCATCCTTTCCTTCCAAACTCCTCCATCCAAGCCTACCCTTAGGGATCTGTCTGAAAGAGGACTAACTCAGAATGGGGTACATTGATCATCATATAGCCCCCTATTTATAGACATAGGAGAGATCCCCCAGGGTTTATTGGGCTTCTGGTATCTGTATAGTAGTGTAGATTTCAAGTAGCGGATTACACTTACATTTCTTTTTCTTTTTATCTTGGGTCATTGCTGTTGATGTCGAGATTCTTTATTGCTTATGATGGTGAGGTGTGTTGATATATTTTATGGCTTAGAGTAGTGCTATATTGTTCTCCTCACTTTTTTGGATATTGATTGAATGTCCTTTCTATAGTTGCATTCTTTCACAATTAAATTGTGCAAGAAGCTGGAACTTTGAGAGGAGAAGGCTTCTAATACAGTGTCCATATATTACTGTTTTCTTTTCATGGTTGAGGTTCATGATTTGGTTTGCAATTTTCTTTATGTCTTGTTCGACATTGCGGCTTCTGCTGTATGTGATATTGGGGATGGTAAAGTGAAAGAGGCAATGGGAAAATTTGTGAAGATACCCTTAGTTGCATTATAATAATTTAGAAAATGAATAACTCAATGTGAGCTGTTACTGTACTTTTCAGGTGTAGCATAACATTATGTATTTTTAAGATGGATTCCGGAGGCATTTCAGAACATTGATGCTTTTACATATTAATCAAGCGGATTTTATATTTTTGTGACATACATCTATTTATGTTTATCATAACATATTTCTCTAAGTTGCATCTTTTACCCTTTTTTTTCCTTTACTTCACGCATCACAACTTGACTAGGGTTTTGGTTGGGATTGTTTATATAATAATTTGTAGGTGGAATATTATTTCAGTGATTTAAACTTAGCTACTACCGATCATTTGATGAGGTTCATCAACAAAGATCCTGAAGGTTTTGGTAAGATAATATTTTCAGCTTCCTTCTTTTTTACTACTGAATTGCTATGGGACAAGCATTTCATTCTACTTCCTGTTTCACCTTACCCCTTTCCTCCTTTTTAAGGGAGGAACAGGATGATGGGATTTTTATTCAAAGATTATCGTATTAAACAATGCGATGCATTGATTCTTGTTTTTGTAAGATGGTAGATGGTTTCAGATTTGACATGAGTATGACCTACTTTTCTATATTCTTTCTGATGCTTTTCTATAATTATATAGTGCCAATATCTGTTGTTGCATCTTTCAAGAAGATTAAGGCCCTCATAACTAGTCACTCTCAACTTGCAACTGTTTTGAGGAACTCATCAAAGCTTGTAAGTTTGTTCACTTTTTTTCTTCATGAACTAATGTTATTCTTGACCTTATCCTTTGCTCTTTGTCTTGATCTTTTCATAATTTTATTCTTTGTTGCTTTTGAATAAACATAATTGCTGAATTCTCCAGGTAGTTAGTGAAGATGGAAAGAAAATCAAGCGTCAGTATCCCCTGACCGAGTCTGATATAGAAGAGCTACAAGTAATTTTTACTGCAATCTTGTGACTGACTTTAGGTTGTGTGAGAAAGTTTATTGATGCTGCATGTGGTTTCTTCAACAAGCAATACTTTTGATGGGTTGTATTTTGGTTACCTGCATGTCATGTATTCTTTTCCAAAATTTTTATTCATGATGTATTATTGTTAATAGTGGCAGCTCTCAATTCTGCTTCTTTCCTCTCTCTCTCTCTCTCTCTCTCTCTCATAACTAGCAATTTTTATTTTTTATTTTGGTAGTCTCGCATTGTTGTAGCTGAAAACCTACCTGAGGATCATTGCCATCAGAATCTTATGAAGGTTTTCTCTGCTGTTGGGAGGTACTATTGTAGCTTCCAATGAATGTTGTTTGTCTTGGAATCTTTTCCTTTATCTTTTTAACTTAATTACTGGCAGTAAAACTTGAATTGTAGTTATATTTTATGTGGCAGTGTGAAGACTATCCGTACATGTCCACCTCAAACCTCCAATAGCGGGGCTTCTTCTGCTTCTAGATTGGGAAAAGTTGATGGCATGTCTTTATCTAACAAGGTAAACATACTGGATGCATGAATTCGTCTGCTATAAGTCCATCATCGTCCTTTGCTTTTGTCTTCATCAATTTTTTTAGCATGCAGGTAGTAGTTTATCAAATATATATAAATGAATTTCAGTTCTGGTGATGAAATTGACCATTTACTTGAACTCTATATGATCATGGTATCCAAATTTTTCTTGATATTGTTTGAGGTCTTCCAGAGAACAGATCTATTTAAATTTGGTTAGTAGTTTTTGTTTGAGTCATTTAGAGGAAATGTAGTTCCTGCCTGCTGCAATCCCAGTCACTGCCATTGCTGATATAAGATAGGGTTATGTAGCATTTGACTCAATATTCACCTGAGGGATGTTAATTGTATGTTCAGTTTTGGTCCCATGAGCTTGGCTGCACATCAATAATTAGTTTTCAGACCTTTTTTGCTGCTTTGACCTTCCCAGTGTAAATATTTGTTTTTCACAAATTTTTAATGATGTAAAAACTCTTTATTTCAACTGGTAGTCTTATGATGTGAAGTATAGACATGCCCCACCTGTGTTGCATGCTACCATTTTGGGTTGCTGGCAGATTTAATTTCAGGACATGAACTTATGCTAGTCAAACATGCAAGTGATGAGATTCCTGTCTCTATTTTCTTTTAGTATTAATGGAGAGAAGGTAATTTAATGAATCTAATATAACTTTTTGTTCCAGTTGCATGCATTTGTTGAATACGAATCTGTTGAGCTGGCTGAGAGAGCAGTAAGTACCAATGCCTTCCCTGAATTGGCATGGAATTATTTCAGGTTACTTTTCAATTGAGATGACATTTTAGGCCATATAATGATAAGATCGAGAACTATTGGCAGGTTGTTGAGCTGAATGACGAGGGAAACTGGAGGAGTGGCCTCCGGGTTCGTCTAATGCTTAGACGCATGGTATACATTAAAAATTTCTTTTACTCCATCTCATGTATGCATGTGTTTCCCTATTTTTTTGTTCATATAACTGGTTCCTTATTTGAAGAAGGGTTCTTTTTTAAATATTTTTTTTTTAAAACAATCATATCTCTTTTGGCTTCATCAAAAGGTACATATCCTGATTTTTTCGAAACTTACTTGAATGAAATAAGAAAAAACCCTCACTAGTCTGGCATGATGGTCTCTTGAGTCGTTCATGTTTTGAGGGGAATTCCACAAGCTGTTAAGCCTGCTTTTTTGTGTGTGTGTGGGTGTGTTTGGAGAACCAAAAATATTAGGTAGGTATTGATTTTTGTGGTTTAGATATAGATATATTATGTTATTATTTTATTTCCAGTCGAAACCTGCTCAAGGAAGGGGGAAGAAAGGACTTGATGTTGAAATTAGCTGTGAGGAGGATTATACTTTCGTGCCTGAGCCGCAGCCAAATGAGAAACAATTAGAAGATGCTTCCTTTCCAGATATTCAGCTGCATGAACATGTGGTAAGTGCTTGCTTATTTTTATTGACTGATTGTAGCAAATAATTATAAGAATCATATTTCAATCTCAAGTTAATTGGAATGGTTTAACTAAAGGATAATACTTTTGTAGCACGGTCTTTTTGGGTAAATAGTATGCAATTTTTAGCATTCTTTGCTCCCTTTGTTATCCCTTTTAAATCCTCGAGAAAAATCATACAGGTTCTAGTACATGTCTTTGGGATTGTGTTCTTGGGAACTGTTCCCCCATATGTTCAGGAGTCCTTCCAAACGTGTTTGGGCTTTTAAAAGAAAAGTATACTTTGGCTCATTTTGGCAATTTAGCTTTGTTGAATGAATTCCGATATGCTGTGATAATGGGGTTTCATTGCATCATTCACGGCATATGTCAATGTCCTCTTCAGTTGTCATGTTAATATTTCTGAAGAGTAGTTTGAGGACAGCATAGCACATACGCTGTCTATATCCTTTTTAATTTAGGCCGTAATTCTTTTTATTTTTACTTGGCAGGGAGAAGAATATGGTTATGACAAAGAGAGTGGGCAGAGGAAAGGCCGTAGCCGGGGCCGGGGTAAGGGACGTGGCCGGGCTCACTGTCATCAAAATAATCGGGTGAATCACTTGGGAATACCCTCCTCCAATAATTCAATTTTAACTGAGCAAGTCGTTGCCAAGCAACCTCCCGGGCCCCGTATGCCAGATGGAACAAGAGGATTTTCTATGGGTCGGGGAAAGCAGGTCGCTGTTAATATAGCATAATATTGTTTAATCAATAGATTAACCAAGTTTGTTGTTGTGCTTGTAGTGAGTATATGTTGGTGCTGGGACAGAAAGATTGTAGCAGTGCTTGTATGTGGACTGTATTGCTGTCGCATATTTAAAGGGTAGACCAGAGTGGGTAGTCAGCACATGAGATAAAAAATCGTGTTAAAATGTAGACGTGATGATATTAGGCTTCTTTGTGTTTTTTAAGAAAAAATGCTTAATTTTCGCAAAGTACATTGAAGCTCATTCTACCTTTTTTCTTTTAGAGAGAATAAGCTACCAACCATTCTCTCCAAGAATGAAATTCCGTATCCAACTAAAAGCTTCTAAGAAGAAAGATAAGCAATTAAATATTATAATTTAAAAACCAAAAATAAGCAATCCTCTCTTCCAACTCCCGCTGATGCAAAGAAATAATGTATGGACAGGCATGAAAGTGTCTCAGTCGAGGTAGAAGAGAGTCACTATCTTCCGCAAATTTTTAGCTTCTTGACAAGTTTCCATGAGCAACCTACTATCATGGAAAGCAAAGCAGATGATTTGCTGTACGTGTGAAATGATGTCCATGTTACATAACCTGCATTCAAAACATTCGAAAAAAAATAAAATAATATCCTAATATTACATCTATGAAAGCATAGCTTGCTAAAATAATTTAAACAAGCTACCAATAGTTGGAAAAGACACCAAGCTCATTCATCAAATTCACATTAGACTACAAGCTCAACCTGTCATGTCAGTGCAACTGTACTTAGCATGAAAAATAAAATTTGCAATATAAGATCCCAAAATCAAAAAGTCTATTTTTTTTTATTTCACCAATTTCTTGATTATCCGACTAATCTGGTTGGATCACAAAAGCAACAGAATTTTCCCTACAAAGTTTATTCAAAAACGTAAAATATGGATAGGCTTACAGATTATAACATTTGAACTCATTAAGAGGGGTGAGAAAGTAGTTTCCCTTAGAGGATGAAGTAAATCAATGTAACAGTGACAAATGAGGCAGCAATATGAATCACAGCTCAAAGAGGGTCACCGTTGAAGTCTCAGGCAAGTTGAGGATCAAGGAGGAGGCGTTTGGGCTCGGTTATAGCTGGTGGATGGTGATTTCAGTAGAGTTTCAAAATAGAGATTCCCCTAGCATGGGAAGTGTGATGCCAAAACCGTTTTCTAGCCTTGTGGCCTCCACTTAGGTGTGAGACTGCGTGACTCCTCACGTGTAAAAATCATTCATGTATGAAAGTGAGGAATAATCAAGTGTAAATTGAGTGAGGTGGCCTTGCCGGATGATCCAAGGGAAAGCTTGGATACTTGGATAGGCCATCTAGCTACTCCATAATATTATTCAACCATACGTGATGCCATAAAATCTTTTAAGTGCTGCTATACCCATATAAGAAAAGCAAGACACACTTAAAACATGGGATAAAGATAATTAGATACTCGTTCATTCCTTCTATGTAAATTATTTTAAAGAATAAATTGTGAAAGACAATAAGAAAAAGCATGTAGTATAAACCTGCTGGCTTCTATTAAGGGTAGATGATCGTTGTGGGGCTTCTCTATCACATTTTTTACCTGCACATTCCATAATCATTGAAATCACAACCAATGATTGAAAAATAATACAAAGCCAGCCAGTCAAACCTGAAAAACTAGGAAGCAGTTCAACAGCCAGTGTGTTCAACACCTAAAAACTATTTTCTGCCAAAACCAGTTAAAAAAAATTCAAAACACTAAGAATCGGTTGAACTGCTCAAATCAGTCACGGATTTCACTGTTGTGGCTTGTCAAACTTCAAACTGGTTTACTTTTGGCCATTTTCTAAAACTTCTTTGCCTAAAATGAGTTCTTTAGAAGGGAGAAAAGAAGGAAATTATAATGCGGGGAAAGTAAGATATCTGCCAAAGCATTAATAACAAAAAACACAAAGGAACAAGAAGTAAACTAAGAAAGTATCAAAGCTACCCAATCTCTCAGTAGATATGACACCTCCCTTGAAAAAGCCATGGGAAGAATACCAAAGATAAGCTACAAACATAATTCTATTTCTTACCAATCTGATAATACGGCATTGAATAACTTTTGAAAGGATCAATATTTCAAACCCGTTCATGGGATTGAAATTTGAAAATAATCATGACGTGTAACTCTGTTTCATGCTCACAAGATTTCACTTTTATCCAAATTTGTTTTCTACTCCATCAATTTATGTTAAAATTAACATATAGTATGCCAAATAAATAAAATTATTAACCAATTGACCACATACTTGTAATTATTTAAATTGTGAAATTTACTGTGCAAGATCAACATGATAATTGATAACTAGGTACAATTAAACAGTTAGATTAATTAAAATAATTTTCGACAAACAATTATTAGATGGTTTACGTGTAGCATGTTAACATATCCAAATCCAATATAAATAAAAGAAATGCCATATATTTTCTTTCTGAAGGACAAAAGAATCAGACAAACCGTGATACAATCACACACAAAGAAACATAAACAGAGGAACAGATGTTCCGTAAACAAACTTATTGTTGGAATTAATGAATGAATTAATGTACAATGATCCATTGGTTATGAATAAGAAGTGGGTTAATAAAGAAAAGAGAAAAGGGAAGATGAAGAGGTGTGTGGGTTTCAACAAGTCCCACATTGGACAATTAGTAAGAAGTGGGAGAGTATATAAGCTCCCACTTCCCTCTCTTAGATTGGCCCTTGGGTCACTACATGTTTTATGTAGGGGGAGGAGCTAGGTGAGCATTGGTTCACCGCGCGCGCCGCCGTCGCCGTCCGTCCGGCCGGCTCAGTTCATAGTGTGTAATAAAAAATAATTTTTTATTAAATTATTTTTTAATATTTTGTCCAAAAACCGTCAGACACGGCGGTTCGCCGCCGGCGACTGTTCATCGTGACCGGTCAGTGTCTATAAATAGACACTGACACCTTCAGAAATTCATCCAGTTTTTCCTGCACTTAAACTCTGCCGGAATTTTTCTCCTTCCGGTTTTGCATACTGTTGTTCATCCTCCGGTGTGATTTCTTCTGGCAATTGTTGTGTTCGTTTGGGCTGTTGATTGGTAGTGCCATCATTCTTCAGACGTAATCCGTTCTATCCTGGGAGACAAGTGTCCATCAACCTTAGGCATCAGTGAGGGGGCAAATTGTCTTAAGGAGACACGTTCTGTGGGCTCAGATTTAATTCCTCTACTTCTGACATATCATTCTATCTGATTTCATCATTCTGCTTGCATCATCATCTGATTTCAAGTAAGTCAGTTCTTTAATTTTAATATTTATAATTGCACAGTGATAATTCTGATCATCTACCTCCTCTGGTTCTATACATGGGTTCAATCTTTTAGTGATATAATATCACCCACTGTCTTCAACAACACTTACTACCAGGTTAAAGAACAATCATAAGGAAAGGGCAAACCCTAGTACACAAAGCTCCCTGATTTTGCAAGGGTAGGGGTAAGGGTTGATTATATGTAGCCTTACCTTTGCTTTTTTGCAAAGAGACATTTATTTAGACTCGAACCATGACTTTCTGGTCACAAAGGAACAATTGTGAATTGTATAAACACTGTCCTTAAACCTTACTTTTGATAATAACTCTTGACTCTCAGGCAACTGTTTTTTTAAACTTTGAGGCAATATCACGGTGAGCAACTCTGGTTTCTCTGCCCTTAAAGCACCTCGAATAACAGCAACATTAGTCCCAGATGCTCCAGATGTATATTTGTGGTTTTTCTACAAAAAAAATAAAAAAATGTCATTAACAAATGGAGGTGAAGTAAGAGACAGATGTGGGAATTTGACAACAAATAATTGAAAGAACTTGTACTTATCACCATATTATATGCTCTACAAGCATGAATAAAAAAACAAAAAACCACTCCCTATTTAACCCCGACTAGCAATGGTAGGGGTGGGGGCAATCCTTATACACAAGCTTACTCTAGCATATTTTTGCAAAGAGACTGTTTCCCGGATTCGAAACCATGACTTTTCAGTCACAAAGAAGCATCTCTACAACTGCTTCTGACTCGCCCTCTTTAGCATGCATGTGATCATATTTTAAGATATGTTGGATTGAAGTCACAACATCTTACAGTTATAACCATAGCATAGCTAAGAATCTCAATTAGTTCCTGGTGCATAAATCCCATGTTTCGTGTCCCAAAAAAGCCAATAGCTCTAGGTCCTTGTTGTTGAATGGCCAATATAATGACCCTAACTGGTAAATCTTAGTTAGAGATTTAATTTAAGGATTTAAATGCCATAATTAGATTCAGTGAGTGATTTCGAGTATTTTGACTGTAATCATGACTAGGTTATGAACAGTGCGTTCTGTCGGAGAATTCGCAGTCTTGTGAATAAACCGGTAGAGCTTAAATAAGCAAAATGATTTTAGAGACATAATTTGACAATTCTGACTCCATATATGAGTTCAGAATGAAAAATTGTATAGTCTGGCACTTTCCGTGAAAATCTCGTGAATAGTGTTTCTACCGGATATTTAGTACTGCTGTTTAAGCAACCGGTAGAGTCCAGAAACAAATAATTGATGAAATAATAATAAGAAAGTCCAATATATGCCAAGCAAGTCAATATAGGCCCAAGAAAATGATGAGTTGATAAGTTTCAAATTTCATAAATAAACAAAGTACAGTTAGTGGTTTCCAGTGCATTTCGTCAAAAACGGTGCAGAAACCACACTGCGAATTTTGAATATTGTTCCTTAGGAAATAAAAATTAATGTAAATGATTTTAGAAAAATAAAAATATGTTCGTAGCTTGAAGTGGGTTCCGGGTCAATTTAAGTAAAATACGCGTTAAAGAAACAACCGGTAAAAAGAGTCACTTATACAAATAGGTCCCCTCCACTTAAAATTACACTATTCACATTAGCTTCATCTTCTTCTCTCTGTTCAAGGCCGACTTGCTCTCATGGGAAGGGGTTAGGGTTTGGCTTTGTTCCTTTTGATTTTCTCCTTCATTATTCAACCAAAACACAAAGATTATAACATGAAATTGATTGGAAACTATCCAACAAATCCATTCCACCTATCAATTTGAGTTTTCGTTGAGAGTTTGGTGAGTTCTTCCTTCCCCCAAATTCGTGTTACTATTCATCACAAGGGAAAAATGGAGCTTTTCATGGAGTTTTGCTTGGAGGATGTCCACTAGGCTTTGGGTAGTTGATTAGAGGTAACAAAACTCTAACCCTATGATTTTAGTCTTGTGATTTGTGTTGTGAAAAATTGTGAGCATATTTTGAGTGAGAAATAAATTAGTTCCCCACTTGAATTGATGGTAGATTATGAATGTGTTGTATATAGGAATGTAAGTAAGTATTTGTATATGTGAAAAATGGAAAAAAATCCATGGTGTGGACTCCCTTATGTTTCGGCTTTCATAGTGTAATGAAGGAAGGATGTGCAAAATTTTAATTTGGGTATTTGGAAGGTGTGAGATGTTGTCATATTTTATTTTAATAAAATATGTGTATTTCAAAGTATGAAAATGATAAGTCATGAAGTGAAATGGTTTGAAAAGAAATCATGGAAAAATATCTTGATTTCCTAAGTGTAGGCCCACGGTCTTTAAAAGTAAAATGGCATGATTTATGTTGGAAATTCTTAAGGGAATACTTGGTTAAATTAAAGAACACCAACGATTATAAAGAGGTCTAGACTTGTGTATTGGCATAGCATTGGCAAAAACATAAAGAAACGAAAAAAAAAGCGATAAAATGTATGCCTTATGTGAAAGCTAGGCATGATGGCATTTTATTAATTGGTATTTGTGGATTCTTGCTCTAGGTGTAGCTAGGGACTAAAAAGGAATCGGAATCTCTTGAAGATATATAAGTAACTTGAGCCACAAGTAAGCATATTGATAAAGCTTCAAGAGGTAAGCTCTACGTTTAAGGAGTCTTTTCCTACTTGAGTGCTCCACCATGGTTAGTGAACTGTGGTTGGATTGTATGACTGTTTTTGGATGCTTTGTATAGATGCATTCATATAGAGTTATTTGATGATATGATATGTTTTGTTCTGATATGACTTCGATAATATGATTTCTGTAATAATCTCTGGCCATTGATTGTATAGTACCCTGATGTCCGCTTTGGGGTCCTCCCTCGGGACTAATGGTGTACGCCTCTGATATGTCTGGTTCCGCTTTGGGGTCCTCCCTCGGGAACACGTGCGTTGATTTCCGCTTGGGGTCATCCTTTGGGAATGACAGCGCACGCCTCTGTTATGATATGAATATATGCTTTGTTCTGTTATAATATCTGTTATATGTGCATTGTATACTCTGTATCTAACTTTCATGCAGGAGTGAGCCAAGGGTATGGAGAATTCTCTATAAACCTGGAGCTTATTGAGATTTGTAATCTCACCCCTCGTTGGGGCCATATTTTCAGGTGCCCAGATCCCCGGTGAGACCTCTCTAGTCAGGGACGCGACCCGTGGCTGAGGATTTTAGACGGATTGGATTTTGAGTAGCTATTTTGGAGTATAGTGCTTTTATTTAGTATTTCAGTATTTTTGTGGATCATGATGTTAGATCCTTTATTTTGTATATGGCCTGTATATGTTTTGTACATGTCTGTCAGTTTGATGCATGTACATTTGAGTATTCAGACACGTTATATGATGATGTAGTATTCAGTTATGATTATGTTGGATTGCATGCTTTTAGATTAGCGGCACTGAGCCAAGTTATGCATGTGCCCATGGATGGGTATCTGATTATATTTGCATGACTGGTACTTCTGAATTGATGTGCTGTATAAACTGTTATCAGGAAATGCTTTTGAGTGGAATTGGAAAATCCCCAGTTGTCCGATTTATAGAGGAAACTCTGCTGGTTTTCGTTTATGCCGAGTAAGAATCAAAGTAGAAAAAGAAAAAGTTAGCTCGTATTTTTCGAAAGTTAAGTCTTCCGCTGTTTCTATTTATATCACATGCATATTAATTGAACCGGCTCGAGACGGGGATGTTACAAGCCAACCGCTCCCGCCAAAAATCATAACTCAATTCAAGATATTGTGCAACTTAAGGTTAAGCAAAAAACGGTTTGCCTTCAATTTGCATCAGAATTCAATATCAAAATCAGAAAAGACGAGTGCCTGTATAAATACTAAACCCACATAGCCTGATCATGATGGTAATAATGTTACGATTTTCCAATTATTAGTTCACACTTCACAGAGTTTATATAAGATTTGCAACAGAATGGTCACATACCTGTAGATAATCAACATCAGAAACAGGTTTGAACTCTGATACCAGAACTGACCCTGATCCTTCCACAACTGACTGGGCCTGCGTTGGTATTTGCATGCCTACTTCTTCATCAAAACCAAAAATGCATAACCCATTCTCGATTTCGTATTCCTGACTATATCTGTTTTGATCTCTCCTCATATGTCCACAAAGCCACTATACCAGTACATAAAAACAGAGTCCCTGGTAGTAAAAATTAGTGAAAAACAACTGCTCACAAGGAGTAGTGGTCATACAAGATAAAGCTCACGTGAGCACTCATCAAATGACCATATAGGCACCAACATAAAGGAATGTCAATTGACCCAAATCCCAATCGATTCACATGAATGTTACGATGTGTCAGAATAAAGATAAGGCTCTGGACTCAGCATAAAATTCTATAAACCAAGAAAACAATCCTACTCACAGCACATGCTTGACAAAAGTCACCAGGTTTATATTTACATTGACACAAAAAACTACTTATCTAAATAATACTAGGAAAAATGATAATAGCGAATGGAACAGGAATTTTAAGTTATTGATTAGAGTAATTTCATTAAAATTCAAAATCTGGCAGAGACAAGGAGCAGTTGCCTTGATATTTGAAAGGTTTCCTTCTCCTAATTTGAAGTACTAAGCTTCATTTACTACAGAGATGCTAGTTAATGCAGGTCAGAAGCCTTGGCTCACAAATTAGCTTGCCATCATATTTTCAGTAACCTCGCGTAATACAGTTCACCGATTAATACTGTTCCTCACTTGGCTCTCTGCTAGGTTCCTACAGAAGTTTCCTAGATTGGAATCGTTGTGCTCAACTGATGGCAGCAAGGGAATCAAACATGAAAGCGGCAATTTACCCCAAAGACAATCACATTGGAAAAAAGGCACACACGCCGACCGACCGTATCTGAAATGCTTAGCCTAAATAACGGATTGAATTACAAGACAAAAGGCTATATTTTGCCTCCGTATCAAAATATTTTATTTATTGATAAATAATTATCTCATGGTATCTCATGCAACAAAAATAAAATATTAGGGTTCACTATTTCCAAAAAAAAAAAAAAGTAGTGGACCTCACAATTTTATCTCTGCTGCATGAGATAATTATCTCATGCAACATTAAATCAATAGATCCTTTATTTATTTATTCAAGTATATAAATCTGCGTAATATACTCGAGTATATAAATCTGTATTCTAATAAATATTCAATATTTGAACTTTTTTAAACATATACTCAAATATATGGATCAGTACTTTAAGTATACTTATTGAGCAAAACTCATAAAAAGACGTGGTAGTTGAACTTGATCCCCATTGCCTGAAACATGATGCTTCCTTTCCATTTTATTTATTTATTTTTTTATTTTGTTTGTATGATTATGATAAATTGTATGATGTTGTATATTAATGAATTTGAAATTTCAGTTGTGTGTTTGCTCATTCTCAAATTCTTTTCATGAGTGATTGACTTGATTGAGGTACTGAATTATTGGTAAGTGGTATCGAATTTCAAAATAATATATAATAACTATTAAAGTTTGAATCTCGTTATTTTTTTTTTTTGAAGGTTACAAGGAATTGAACACAACACCCTACATTACACACACTCCTAATACTGTTCAATTAGGGGAGATTATATCCACATATTAAATAGACCTAATCCGACTCGGTACACACGTGCCAATAACCCCGTTTGGCAGTGGGCTAGGGAGAGCCCAATTAGGAAAAATCACCTTAATCCTGGAAGATTAAAATCTAGGTAAACGTTGTCAATTTTACTCTATGCCGAGGTAATACAATTATTTTCACGTTGTGTTATTCCATACAATCAATTTCACGTTACAATTCCATGGAATAGGTCCAATAGGACGTGTGGTTGAAGGCGCAATAAGGTTGAGGATACCATCCAGGGAGAGCATAAATTGGTTGTGATGTTTAAGAAAAAAATATAATATAATTAGTATCAAACTATAATATGATAATCTCTCATGATTGTAAGACGCTACCTTCTAACAATTGCTTGTTATAAAAAATTAAAGGGGCAGATAAATAGCCTTATTAAAAATGTCGCATCACAAAATCGCCTTATACAGCCTTGCAAATGTTGTTAGTGTAACATTAGTATACTTGTATTATTATTTTGCCTTAGTTATATAAATTTAGATTTAATTAAATTTTTATCTTATAGTTTTACAAGGGTTAAATTTCAATCATAATAATTGTATTCATTACTCTTAAATAATATAATAAAATATCATATCAAGTCTTTAACTGATTTAAGAGGGGATAATCATTTCACTAACATGATACCAAATCTGATAATATAACATCTCTTCTCCCCGCCATTTATTCTTCCTCTCCCTCCTTTTGTCTCGGTTTCAGTAGGCCAGCAATGATCATACCTTCTCTTCGTACAGTCTGATACTGAGTAGAAACTACCATTATCACTTCAAGAAAACGCGGGAGAATATAGGACAGTCCATGCAGATATATATGAACTATCCTAAAGTGCGTACATCCTCTTGTATTCACTGTTTAAAATCTCTTGGTCTGATATATGAGACATGGAAAACGAACGACTCTCGGCCCTCAACTTTGTCTCATCCATCCTATGCAAAATGACACAATAGCACATTGAGCCAATTGTAGAGAGCATTATCAAGCTTCCAATAAATGTAGCATATACAGCAAGCCATCTGGAGTGTGATCCCACCACCACGTATGTGAGAGAAATGAAGGCAATTGAAATGAAAAGGCAAGCCATCCACATGAGCTTGTTAATGACAAAAACAAGCTGCTTCTTTGCCTTTTGTTCAATCACAACTACAGAAGTTTGAACCACCACAACTGCCAGAGAGATGAATAATGCCAGGCTATCGAACACAAAAAAAATTAGGAAAGCTGCGTTTTTCGCAATATTTGCTTGTCCAAGTGAAAAACCCTGTGTTTTTTCTTCAACATATTGACCAGGGACTGTGAAGATAGCTGCAAATGCAACAGTAGCAATGAGAACGGCAACAATAGTAGCAGAGTTTATCGCATTGTTCAGGCCACTAATATGGAGTTTTTTCAGCTTCTTTGCAATTTTCTGGACCCTCACTCCAGTCTGACGTGTTTGTTGGAGTTGGGATTGCACATCATGCTTTATGTCACTGACAGTCTGCTTAAGTTGCTTTGATGCATTTGGAGGCTTCCCTTGGTCAATGGAATTGGCAGCCCCAGCATTCCTCAATATGGAGACAAGTTCTGGACTTCCAAATTTTTCTCCAACGTCAAGAGGAGTCTCTCCAGCCTTGTTCGTAGCATTGATGTTGATACCCTCCATTAATAACAAGCAGCGGACATTCTGCAGTTAATAATGACCATTTTAGAATAGATATTAGAAGCCAAATTCTATACATTATCTCGGTATTAACTTTATCTTACTAATAAAAAAAAATTCAGACGCTTAAACCTTATTCTTGGAATAATACCAATTCATAAGATACCCTTGCATTATTGTGTTCTGTTCTACATAATTCGAAAAATTATTCTGCATACGTTTCCTCTATGAGTTCTCATTCATTCTTTGAGCTTCCAATAGAGTGCGTGCGTGTGCGTGTGTATATATATATATATATATAGGGTCAAGATCATTTTACACCAGTGTAAGTTACACTCTCAATCTTGTCCGTTGATCCCACTTATATCTAAAGGCTCAAATTTTTTAGTAATGTGAGCCATTGAATACAAGTGGATCAATAATCAAGATTGAGTGTAAGACTTCTAACTCTTACACCGGTGTAAGAATATCCTACCCCATATAAGAATAATAAGTCTTACATCAAATCTTTAGCATTGATTTCTGTGTATCTAACGGTTATGACTTATGATTTATTGAAAATTAATAATTAATTAATGACCCAATAAATCACAATTGTTATATTCACGGAAATCATCGTTAAGATTTAGTATAAGACTTATTATTCTTACACTGGTATAAGAATAATAAGTCTTATACCAAATCTTAGTCATTAATCTCCATGGATAGAGATCAATGATTATGATTGAGTGTAAAACTTATTATTCTTATACCGGTATAAATTGATCCTATTCCATATATATATATACACACACACACACACACACACACGAGAAGAGACCTTTTGAATCCAGAGTAAGAATAATAAGTCTTACTCCCCATCTCAGTCATTGATCTCTTTGCATCTGACGATTACAATTTATTAGAGATTAATAATTAATTAATAAATATAATTCAATAAATTACAACCGTTAGATGCATGAAGATCAACAGTTGAGATGTGAAGTAAAACTTATTATTCTTTCACCGGAGTCAAAAGATCTCTCCTATATATATATATTTCAAAGCAGCCAAATTGGGAAGGCAAAACCAGTAACACAAGAATATACAAAATTAACAATACATTTATCCCTAATTAGTTGAGGTCAACACTGGATAAATCATATAAAAACAAGGACAAATTAAGAAAAATAAATAAAAAATAAGAAAAGATAATATATATATATATATATATATATATATATATATATATATATATATAAATATAGAAACATTTTATCTATCCACAATGCTAATAGCTTTCTTTCATTCTATCCTAAGATAAACCACATATCAATCTATTTACTTCATTAAGACTTGTTTTATTACCTTTCTCCAAGTAAATTTTGGCTGACCTCTTCCTTTCTGTATATCATGCTCCATAATAACAAACTTCTTTTCTTACCGGAGGATATAAGGGTCTTTGGAGAACACGTCCTGACTATCTCAATTTATATTCTCTCATCTTTTCTTCCACCATTATTAATCCAGCTTTTTGCCGAATACCTTCATTTCATATCAATTGTTATGACCACACAACTTTTTCACAACATTCTCATTTCTGCTACTTCATTCTATGCTCATGTTTTTGTGTTGACCAACATTCAGCTCCTTATAGCATTGTAGCCTTTCTAGATGTTATATTAAATCTTCTTTTTAACCTAAGAGGGATTTTATGATCACATATAAATCTTAATGCACTCGCCATTTCGTCCAACCTACTATGATTCTATGGTTTATATCCTCATCATAAAAATGCATATTTCATAGGTACCTCATTTTCTAGCATATTCATGAATTCTTATCTCTTCCTCTTGGCTGTGGCAAACTCACTCTATGTATTCAGTCTTACTCTAACTTGATGTAAATCCTTTGGACTCCAACGTGCTTCTCCATAATTCAAGTTCAGTTTTAAAACCAACCGTAGTGATGCCGAGACTGCATAGAAAAAGTGGCTAACCAGAAAGTTGGGATTTAATAAATAGAAACCCTTGAGTTCTCAACTTCAATAACTAAAAATAAAATAAAATTCAACTCCTTCAATAAAGGTCTTAAGCATCCTTTAATAGACTAATTAGACATCAATTCAAAATCATAAAAATAAATATAACAATAAGTGCTTCTAAAAATAAATAAATACAATTAAATTATCCAAAATATGTCTCAAATCTTATATCTCAAATCAAGCCAAATTTGTTGCTTTCTTATTTTGCCAAATAAATCACAATGAAATATGCAGCTTCATTTGGACTTGGATTTTATCATATTTCAAATTGTTGCTTCTTTGAATGTGCGAGTCATGCTTAATGAGAAGGGTTTATATAAATTTATGTAAATTGTGACGAACAATTTTTTTTTTTTGGTAAACATCGTGATGAACAATTTATTATAGGGAACAACTGTCAACAATAGTTTTGAAAATGGATAATTGAAAATTATCCTTAAATGGAGATAATAAAGAAATTCATTTCTTTCGATTCCGTACGGCTGGATCACCTCCTTTTCAGGGAGATCTTATGCTTGTTGGGTAGAATTCAAAAAGAACATATCCTATTATATAGTTTATATATAATATAACGCTATAAAATAATAAACATATACTATTACATATAGAATATGGGATAAGTTATTCTACCTACCTTTTTTTTTGCCTACCTTTGCTTACCATTCTAAAAGATCATTGGATCAGAATCTTAATTAACATTTATCTTTCTCTCTCCTCTTTAGATTCTGATTTAACGGTATTGGAGAGTGGTAGACAAAGGTAGGAAGAAAAAATGGTAGGTAGAATAACCTATCTCATAGAATATATATAAAATAGACATATAGAATTCAATAAAATTTGTTCTCTCTATCGCGAGATAGAGCAACTTGGTAGCTCACAAGGTTCATAATCTTGAGGTCACGGGTGCTCCTTTTTTCGCCCTCGTGTGGCGACATGGGGGAAAAGAAAAGGAAAGAGAGGGATGAAATTTCTCTCGCTTTTGGCATAGCGGGCCTCGGCGGGAGGCCCGCACGACAGGCTATTTTTTTCTTTAGGAGAATATTACCATGATAATGAATTGTTGGTTTGACCTTGAACAAAAGGCCCACGTTGAAGACTAGGGAGAAACACTGCACCACCGTCAATGAAGTGAAAGGAAGTATGTTGCATTATTTGAAATATGAGTCTAGTATGGTATTTGAAATATGTCATGAACCAATTCTTTTAAAAGCTTAAGCTTTTAGGTGAAGGCATGTGAATATTTCTATCACGCCCCCATGTAATAGCCTTTGGGCTTTAGACATTGACAATACATAAGTATACTCTACGTTATGTTAAAATTCAACTTTTATTTAGAATGGGGTCCGATGGGAGCAAGACTACGAGGGTGTATGGGAGGAAGCGTCATAGGGGATCTAAACCACACACCAGTACTGAGGTGGCATAATCGACCAAGGGATATTTCAAATGGCATATGGGGTCAAGGAGGTGGTTATGCACGTATTTGGTGAACGAAATGGTTGCTAGGAGGATTATTCTGAGAATTTTGGCTTGGAATTGGGACTGGGAGAGTCCAGAAGCCTCTCTAACGCTCTAGGTTACCTTTTGTTCTTTTTTTTTACTCATTGTACACTGAAACACCATGGCTGGAAGCTATTATACCAGTACTTTGTATTTCCATTTACATGTATATCAGTAAAAGTGCAATATGCTTCTGTGACAATTCTTCGAATTTATTCTCTGTTGATCCTCAAACCCACCAACTTGTATCAAAGCTCCCGATCCGAGAGCCCCGAATGGTTGTGACAAGAAGGATGGAAGCTTGATTTGAAACGCTGAAAGACCAAATCAAAACATCGGAGGAGAATCAAGAGGGGATACCAAGGCTCCTATGTGGAAAAAGGCAAAATAAAGAACAAAAGGTAACCCAGAGCATTACAGAGGCTTCTGGACTCTCCCAATCCCAATTCCCAGAATAATCCTCCTAGAAACCATTCTCTTCACCAAATACCCACATAAACACCTCCCTATACCTGCACGGCTTCACCATCTCCCTAACCCCACATGCTATATAGAATATCCCTTTAGTCAATTATGCCACCTCATTATTGGTGTGTGGTTTAGATCCCCTACGACGCTTCCCTCCATACACCCTCATAGTATTGCTCCCATTAGGGTGTCACGGATTGAACTCTAGACACTTGGTTATAGAGGCCCAAAATTATAAACTTACCAGTTACCACTAATATGCACCGGAGGGCTTAAAATTTTAATTTCGGTAAATATGTAATGATAATCAATCATCCAGACCTTCACCCTGCCTCTTATTTAAACAGATACACTTTATAGATCTTGGGCCTTTTCATATTTTTGCTATATCTAGGCCTAATGCATATTTTTTCAATAAGGAAAATCTAACACCTTTTAGAGGCCCACCTTAGCCTCCTTATTGTTTCCATTTGTTTCTGCAGGCCCCAAATCTTCTGAAGTTCCCAAATTTCCTATTGTTTCTTAGTCATTCAACGTACTAGAGGTTGACCTAGATGATATATATGTCGGCTCTCCAATTCCTCCTTTTCACCACTACTTTGGGAAATTGAAGGACTGTTTTGGTTCAGATGCAACATCGACCCAGAGGATGATTTTCATTAGTTAGATTCAGTCACATTGGCTCTTTCTATGTCTTTTTACTCTTCAGAGGAGAGTTCTTCTCAATTGGGGGGAATTCTGCATATTAGGCTATTATTTTACTATTTAACTTAGGGATTTCATTGATTTGGGATTATTTATTGTTATCTTTTATTAAGGATTTTATTATATTCTAGATTATCCAATTCTAGCTTAGAACAATAACAACTTATTAGGGTGTTTGGCTATATTGGGTCTATAGATTCATCATGGTTATCTAATATTTGAGTCTGAGGAGCACCATACCCTTAAGGAGTACTCCTTGCTTATTAGGGGAGTACCAAGCCAAGAAGAGTACTCTTGGATTGTTCTGCATCATAGAGGCAACAAAAACTCTTATTTAAAAGCAACCTCGAGTTTATCAAAAGATCAGGATAAGAAACAACAACCTAATTGGCTTCCCAAACCTGAATTATGTGCATTTATTAATCTCTTTATAAATTTCAATAACGGTCTCAACCCCAAAGCCTCGACACCCTACTTTAGAGATTTTTTAGATTTTTAACTTTAAATTCATGGCTCTGCCCCTGTGACTGATATTGCTACATGGATCCCAGTACACCATAGTGCAAACAAGAAGAAAATAAAATTAACAAGTAAGTCGACGATCATTTTGTTTAATGGCCAATATGGCCACCAACAACCATGGTAGTAGCCATAATGCGGCAAACAACTGTAATTTCTCTTTATGGTAGCATGCTTATTTTTGTGCTTATCTATTTTCTGTCAATTTCTAATCCACAAGAACAACTAATAGACATGGAAGCACATTCATCCCTAAAAAGAAATAAAGAACAACTGTCTATATAATTAGTTTATCAAGGCTAATAAGTATATAAAATGAATTAGAAAAGAATAAGGATGAACCTGCGCACGGCCTTTCTTTGTGGCAATATGCAATGCTGTATTTCCTTTATTATCCTCTAGACTTAAAACTGCAGGGTCAGGTTTTACCAATTCCAGCAAAATCTCTTCATTTTGCCCTTTCACAGCCATGTGCAGTGCTGTTTGACCTTTCTTATCAGTCCTAAATCCAGTGCTTGAATCCTTGTTTACTAAGGCTTTCACAACTTCCAAATGTCCCATTCTAGCCGCAGAGTGAAGGACAGTCTTACCATTATTCCTGGCTATTTTTGCAAGGTTTGAATCTGACTCCAAAAGGAGATTAACCACATCAATATGACCTTGAGTTGCAGCTGTGTGTAAAGCTGTTGAATTGGACAAATCTGTGGTCATGGCCAAGTTGGGGAAGGTTTGTAGCAGTTCTCTCAGCACCTCTGCAAGATTCTTTTTTCTCAGTCAGAGCTATAGTGAGAGACATGTAATAACAGACATGCTATATTTGTGAAAAATATCTTTGTTACTCCTTGCTTGGGCTTCTCACCCAAGATAGTGTATCTGAAACTTAAATTACACAACGATCTGAAAGACAAGCAGCATAACCATTGAAGCCAAATATAAGGTTATAAAATTAATAAACTATAATTTTGAGATTAGATCTACATGTCATTTTGAGGGTTCTTTTGCTGGTATCGAACCCAGTTGTTGCATGATATAAGAAAAGCTCTAAACCAATAAGCTACTCGGGAAACCTGCAGATCTACATGTCAATTTACTGACAATCCACAATAATAAACTTCTCTAATTTCATTTTTTCCCCTTCATTTTCAATATGCATAAAGAGAGACGAGTGCATTAGCTGGCAGTGAGGGATGGAGGAATATAGGAAAGAAGAATAGAATAATTCCTGGACAATATTTCTTTAACCAGGAAACACAATTGTCCAACCACTTTCTTAAACAAATCAAAAGTTGACACATCCTAATTGCTGCTTACTCAAGCAAAATATTGGGAAAACACTAAAAGGACAGTATGGATTTTGGGTTTTGGTTTACATCTTCACTATCTAAGAAGCAATAAGTAAGATACACACCCACTCACAATATTTTTAGGATATTAATCATGCATTGACCTAGTAAAACTGTTGACAAAAAAAAAATAAAAAAATTATAGGGATCTGGCCCAAACATAATGCTATATTGTATCTTACCAAGATGACCCTGCTTGGCAGCGACATGGAACGGATCATAGCCATTTCTAGCAGCAATAGAAGCAGTTTGCAGGTCCAAGTACTTCAGTATCTCGCTAACAACCAGAGCATGCCCATTCTCTGAAGCGACATAAAGAGGGGTCTCCCCCTCTACATTCTGCTTAGCCAACAAATCCTTCGATTCATAATTAGCATAGTTTTGAATTATCTCTTTCACTTTACTCAAGTTCCCTGACCGAGCTGCTAAATGAATTGGTAAGTCACCTCTTTTCCCAGGTGATTCCTTGCTCTTCTTCCTCTCGCTTCCCATGAAGCTGAGCTGCTTCTCCATCACAATGCGAAAACTTTTCTGTTTTTCCATAAATCCGCGAAAACTCTTCTGTTTTTCCATTGTAGATGAGCGAAAACTGCTCTGTTTTTCCATAATCACTTCAAAAATCTTCCTGTGGCACCAACGGAATTTTCTCTCTCTGCATGAGCCAACGAAAAAATGACAAGACCATCAATTTAAATCCGCAAGTTAAACTTAAACAATCCTATAATCTGGTTCGTACGTATTAAACCCACTTAATTAATTAATTGAATAAATTAATAAAGTCATCAAGAGTCCAAATGGTACCAAGAAGAAAACCAAAAGGCAAAAACTACTTTATCTAATCATCTTCTTCACCATCCGCGACTTGGTAATCAAAGAAACACCAAAGACTGGAAAGGCAAACTAATATAATATCATCAATTACCGGCAATTAATTCATAATACCTTGATGCTGAGGTCTATGAAGTTGGATAGATAAACAGATCGAAACCCACGGCAAATCGGGAAGCCCAGAAACCGATTTCCACAAGCTTCAGACTTTAAACTGTTCATAAGCTAAAAAACAAAGGATCACTTGAGACCCGTATGCATCTAAAATTTCATCCAAATACGAAACAAATAATTTTTTTGGAACGAAGTCCCAACTGACCCTAATACTGCCATCAACAAGAACAAAGTAATTTGCTTTATCCTATGCAGAACATACGAGGATAATCATCTCCAGACACCGGCCAAGACAACTCAAGAAGGTTTTGCTTTCAAATATGGCAATTTCACGGGAAAAAATAATTTAAATATATTATTTTTTTTGGCTTACTTTTGCTTATCACTCTCTAATACAATTATTTGCTTATCAGTCTCTAATACAGTTATATCATAATCTAAAGAGTTTTAGAGTGATAACAAAAGTAGTCAGAAAAAATAATAAATAGAATAAATATCTCTAAATATTATTATTTAAATAAAAATTTAGTAAAACATAATACTTTATAACCAATTTACGAATTTACGGCCCAAAATTGAGCAGAACATCGAGCTTACTTTTGGGTCGCGACAATTTTGAAGCAACTCACCCGATGACACAAGTGACACAAAATTTTCAATAGATTTGGTGTAAACTTTGAAAGATCATAATTTTTAATTTAGATGTTCAAATTAGATATTTTTTTTATTGAGATCTACGTAATGATATGTGATTGAAGGAGATTTGGTAAAAAATGTTTCAATTTTTTTTCAAATTTGCAAAAATGGTACCACCACAAGAGAATTTTATCATCCAAATTTTTCCAAAAAATGGACAACATAACTTTATTTGCTAGGAATGTTTCTAATCATGGCACTGGTTTTCTCTCCATCCACACGCATAGGCAATAGCTGAATGACTTAATTCAGTCTAGGAGAAAAACAAGTTATCTTGTTTATTATATAGAGATCTAGTAGCACCCCAAATGCATATATTCTTCAATTTTTTGTCTACTCTATCACGTGCCCAAATGTTCTTGTTACACTTGTGATCTGAACCTATTATATGATAAGTAGTGGCCCTATTGCTAAAGGCCAAAAAAGCCTAAAGAACCTTTGTGACATGGCCAGAAAGGCAATCCATCCCGCGTAGGAAGCATGGATCTCACTAACTTGGCCAGCAAGCCAAAACGTGACTTAGCTTAGAAGGAACCGTCATTGTTGGGATCAGCAACTCAGACAAGTTGGCCTCCTTCAGGAGCCAATGGAAGAATGAAAGCTCCTACTTGCCACCATACCTACTGAGTCTACTATAAAACATAGGCTTGCCCATCAAGGAACAGTCTGAGAGAGACCACCCCTCTCCACCAATAAACGTGAACACCGCCTTATAAAGGACGATGATAAACACGGTGCTCGAGCATTATAAATACAGAGGCCATTGTCCAGGTATGATATCTCTCTTTGAATATTAAATGACTTGACCGTCAGAGTGCCTTTGCAAGTACCTCAGTCGCTTTCATACTACCCGGATAAGCAAAAGCGCTGCCCAACCATCTCGCAACTCAATCCACCATCTCGTCGAGCATCTCGCATTCTTAGCATCAACACATCTATCTTTCCTTCTCTTCATCAACATTATCTGCCTAATCTAGTGCACAGGTTACCTGAACCTTGACATCAGTCTGATATACAAGTTACCTGAACCTTGGTACCAATACTTAAGGAATGAACCTTAAGTTTAAAGAAAAGTATAATATACAGGTTACCTAAACCCTGATATCAGTTGAAGAAAAATCTAGTACACAGGTTACCTGAACCTTGGTACCTACGCCTAAAGGTTTGAACCTTAGGTTTCAAAGAAAAGGAAAAAATGATATACAACCTCGTACTAATGCCTAAGGCTTGAACCTTAGGTAAGTACCACACATATCAAATGAAGCGACATCAAATTCAAACACTCAACTATCTCGCCCAAAGCGCATCAAGATTAAAAAAAGGTACACAATGAATATTTGATATGAATTATGCGATAACTATAATGCAGGCCTAAAATGAATACTAGACAAGTATCATATGAAAGGCATGCTTGATTGAACCCGGGGGTAGCCAGGGTGCACCATGGGCTAGCCGTGGTGCACCAGGGACCTACGTGGGGCACCGGGGCCATCCGTGGTGCACCAGGGACCTACGTGGTGCACCTGGGGCTAGCCATGGTGCACCAGGGACCTACATCGTGCACAAGGGTCAATCGTGGTACACTCGGCGCAAGCCGTGGTGCACCCTGGGCTAGCTGTGGTGCACCCGTGGACTAGCCGTGGTGCACCCGGGGCAAGCTGTGGCACCAGGGACCTACGTGGTGCACTGGGGTCAGCCGAGGTGCACCCAGGGCTAGCCGTGGTGCACCAGGGTCACACGTGGTGCACCCGGGGCTAGTCGTGGTGCACCCGGGGATAACCGTGGTACATCCAGGCTAGCCATGGAGAGCCAAGAACCTACGTGGTGCATCAGGTTCAGCCGTGGTGCACCCGGGGACTAGTCGTGGTGCACTAGGGACCTACAAGGTGAACCACGGCTAGCCCCGGGTGCACCACGGCTGACCCCGATGCACGACGTAGGTCCTTGGCTCACCATGGCTAGCCCTGGGTGCTCCACCGCTATCCCCGGGTGCACCACATCTTACCCTGGTGCACCACGACTAGCCAGGGACCTACGTGATGCACTCAGGGCTAGCCGCGGTGCTTCAAGGATCTACATAGTGCACCAGGGCCATCCGTGGTGCACTTGGGGCAAGTCGGGGTGCACCTGGACTTACGAGGTGCACCCGTGGCTAGCCGTAGCACCACGACTAGCCAGGGACCTACGTGATGCACCCAGGGCTAGCTGTGGTGCACCTTGAACCTACATGGGGAACCTAGAGCTAGCCGTGGCCCGGGGCAAGCTGTGGTGCCCCAGGGACAAACATGATGTATCAGGATAAGCCGTGGTGCACTCGGGGCTAGCCGGGGTGCACCAAAGACCTACGTGGTGCACCAGAGTCAACTATAGAGCACCCAGGGCTAGCCGCAGTGCACCTGGGCTAGCCGTGGTGCACCCGGGTCTAGCTGTGTTATACCAGGGGCCGACGTGGTGCACCGGGGTCATTCGTGGTGGACAAGGGACCTACGTGGTGCACCCTTGGCTAGCCGTGGTGCACTAGGGACCTACATGGTACACTGGGATCAGCCGTTGTGCACCAGGGGCTAGCCGCGGTGTACCCGGGACTAGCCGTGGTGCACCCTGGGCTATTTGTCGTGTATGAGGGACCTACGTGGTATCGGCCGTGGTGCACCAGGGACCTACGTGGTGAACCCAGGCTTAGACGTGATGCACCCAGGGCTACCGTGGTTCACCCTTGGCTAGCCGTGGTGAACTAGAGACCTACGTGGTGCACCCGGGGTCAGCCGTGGTGCACCCTTAGCTAGTCGTGGTGCACTAGGGACCTACATGGTGCACCGGGGTCAGCTGTGGTACACCGGGGCTAGCCGTGGTGCACCATTGGCTAGCCTTGGTTCATCAGGGACCTACATGGTGCACCTAGGGCCAGCCGTGGTGCACCCTTGGCTAGCCGTGGTGCACTAGGGACCTACATGGTGCACTAGGGTCAGCCGTGGTGCATCCGGGGCTAGGCGTGGAGCACCTTGGGCTAGTTGTGGTGTATGAGGGACCTATGTGGTACACTTGGGTTAGCCGTGGTGCACTCGAGGCTAGCCGTGGTGCACCCTTGGCGAGCCGTGGTGCATCAGGGACCTACGTGGTGAACCCGGGGTGAGCCATGGTGCACCCAGGACTAGCCGTGATGCACTAGGGACCTACATGGTGCATTGGAGTCAGCCGTGGTGCACCCGGGGCTAGCTGTGGTGCACCCTTGGCTTGCTGTGGTGCACCAGGGACCTACGTGGTTCACCCAGGGCTTGCCGTGGTGCACCAGGGACCGACGTGGTATACCGGGGTCAGCCATGGTGCACCCGGGGCTAGCTGTGGTGCACCAGGGACCTATGTGGTGCACCACAGCTAGGGTTTAGGGGTTATGGGTTAGGATTTAGGGGTTTAGGGTTAGGGTTTGGGGTTTAAGGTTTAGAGGTGAACATTAGACATTTCCTCTCTTTTGGGAGATCTGTGGTTAAGTTTAACCACCCCAAAACCTTGTTCTTGTGAGAGAACAAAGGTAACCACTGAGTTTCCTCCCAGTCAGCGCTTAATTTAATATCTTTAGCTAGACATGTTACTTACCTCTCAGTTCTCTGGAGAAGATGTTGAGGAGACTTCAGTGTCTCCTGGTAGTTTTCCTAGTGTTCTGGTGTTAAGGCTAGCAGCTATTTGTCCCAGATGGGACTCAATATTTCTGACAACAGCATCGTTCCTGGTAACATATTCCTTAACATAATTATCTAAGGTATTGATACGTTGATCTTCTCTAGGGAACAGAGCATAGTTGGGTCTTCTTTGTGGATCATATGCTCCATTTCCTCCATTGCTGCCTTGTTTGTATTGTTGTTGACTGTTATATGGTCTCTAGTTCATGGGTGGTCTCCATTGAGGATTATGGTTCTGATCCTTCAGTATGGTGACTTTAGAATTCTGATTGTCGTTGCATCTTGCATATTGATTATCTCTGGTCTGAGTGAAGTTTCTGTTCTCAAAATTTTCAGTATAACACACCAAGGCTGTGGAGGGACAGTCTGTTGAATCATGATGATCACCATATGTTGAGCACAGTTCACTCTTAGAGGCTGAGTTATAAGACCTCCACTCTTCGTTGTTCTTTTTCAGCCTTTAGAGTCTTCATTTCATTCATTAGTGCAGCCAGTTGGGCTCCCATGGCAGTTTGTAGGGCTGTGCGTAGGTCAGGTCGGGTCAGGTTTTTGTCCAACTCGACCCAAATTGGTTTTTATAGGTCAGGTATTTTGACCCGACCCGCTTTAATTTGATCAAAGTCAGGGTTTAGGGGTTTAGGGGTTTAGGGGTTAGGGGTTAGGGGTTAGGGGTTAGGGCCAGATTCCAGGATTCCAGGATTCCAGGATTCCAGGATTCCAGGATTCCAGGATTCCAGGATTCCAGGATTCCAGGATTCCAGGATTCCAGGATTCCAGGATTCCAGGATTCCAGGATTCCAGGATTCCAGGATTCCAGGATTCCAGGATTCCAGGATTCCAGGATTCCAGGATTCCAGGATTCCAGGATTCCAGGATTCCAGGATTCCAGGATTCCAGG